AGAGAGAGAGAGAGAGAGAGAGAGAGAGAGAGAGAGAGAGAGAGAGAGAGAGAGAGAGAGAGAGATTCAAATAGACTTTAGAAGTTTAGAGTGTTTTTCGATTAAATGAATCTGGCTGTGATTGCAGACAGATACGTCAAGCAAACTCCTTGTGTATGTCTTTCCCTCTACAGCGGTCACCAAGTTAGCAACCGTGAATAAGTCGTTCGCCATTTCATCCCTGCCCTGCAATTTTCCCTACCAGGATGGAAGTAGGACTCTCCTTTACGTGTCTGCCCGTAATCACAGACAGATCCACAGAAAAGTAAAAAAAAAAAAAAAATTGTCAGTCCACTTGTGCTGAAAATTAGGAAAAGAAGAAGAAGAAGAAAAAGAAAAAGCTAGGACACAATGGGTGGCCAAACAACTCAACATTTTTTATTTTTTATTTTTGGGAAAATAGCCCTTGCGATATCCCTCTCTCCTGGCAGTGGTAAGAGAACCGTCAGAATTGAGGGCTTATCTGTCGGGCTGCTCCATCTATTGGTCGGGAGCCGTACCTGCTGGAAACCGGGTCCAGCGTCCTATTGATACATCTCGTAACACAGATATTGCTGTTTGTTGTTTCCTGGGGCTGTGGTGATTGTAACAACTCAACATTCTACATGTTAAACGAACCGTTAAGCCAAAAATTAGCGTCCAATCAAACCGCGCACGTGCAGCTCACACCCTTGGCCGGGGCCAGCTCTTTTTTTTTCTTTTTTTTTTAAGCCCGGGTTGTGACGAACCACTTTCTGTAGCGCGCGACTTTCTGCGCAATTGCAATGAGGGGTCCTGAGCTGGGAAGGTTGGGCCAATTACGGGAGATTGGGATGGATGGAAAATTGCATCAGTACCCTCGCTTCTTCGTCTTTTGCGTCGGTTCTTTTCGGATGGCTGAGTTCGGAGCTGGGTGTGTCCCGGGACGGACGATTGACTGGTCGGGTGGATGGCTGGCGCGCCGCCAAACGCGCAAATAATAAATGTTGACGTCGTTTCTTTTGTTTCGGTTTCGGGACTTTTTAGGCGCGGACATCGAGCGGGAATTTTGCTTCGTTCTTTTTGAACTTTCTTTTTGAATTCCTTTTCAGATTTTGTTGAGACTATACGGCTCTCGGAATTTAGGACTTTCTTTCCGAAACTTGTGCTTTTTTTTGCTTTTTTGCATTAGATAGGAATTTAGGAATTTTTGTAATTAGGACTTTCTTTTGCTGCGCGGCGCCTTTTGCTTACGCGCTTATTTATGCGGCTGCAACGGAATTCTGATTAGTCGGCGCCTTTAATCGGGTGTGTAACTGTAATTTTGGACTGGCGCCATTGTAACTGTATCTTTCTTCTTGTGCTTCGTCTTTCCCGCCCCTCTTCTCTTTCTTTTTGCTGAGTTTTGGTAGTCGCGCTCTGCATGATCGGATCGATGCGTGGAGAGCGACTACGTCCCCCACGCCGCGATTGGGCCATGCAGAACGAGGGCATTCCTTCTCTAATCGTCCTTCTAAGTCCTTGTAATTCTGTGTTCTTCGCGCATGCATGCACGCTATAAATTCCGGCTGCGCGATTAGTTAGCTGTCTTAACCAGCTGTTGGAAGCTCGGGGTTGCGCGATCAGAGAGGGTCGGCACACGAGCGAAGTAAGAGGTGAGGAGAGCAGGAGTCGGGCGACCCGACGGGCTGGTGCCAAACGCGCGGGGTTGACGCGGGCGACGACGGACTGTGGGCACGGGCGAACCTGACGGGTGCGGGAGGACTAAGCGGGGTGACGGCTTCGTGGGTTGGTGCGCGACGACGGACTGTCCGCATTGGAGAGAGAGAGAGAGAGAGAGAGAGAGAGAGAGAGAGAGAGAGAGAGAGAGAGAGAGAGAGAGAGAGGGAGTTGAGGTTGATGGACGCGGATTTGTTGTTTCTTTTATCTTTTCTCCCTCATGTCTCGTGTATATAACTTTTGATTTCGGCTCCGGGTGATTTGCCCGTTTCTGTTTTTCGGAATCTGGATTTGGTTTTTCGCTCACCCTTGTCCTCGCGATCTCCCATCTCGGATATGGTGTATGAATGTATGAATGAATGTATGAATGAATGTATGGATGTCATCGGATCCTTGCCTTTGCCTTTGCTTACTGCCTTTGATGCAGTCATGAGTAGGATAGAAATTTTGTGCAATCATTAATTCTGTTCTCGTTTTTGCTTATCTTTTGATTGAGCTGTTGTGGTTGTTGCATCTTGCATGCTCGAAAATTACGGAGTGATTAGACAATCGAATGTCTGGCCCAATGAACGCCGCGCGAGGACGAGTGTAAACGCGACCTGATCTGCGCATTTACACGTGCCCCCGTGCGTCGATTCGTCAAAAGACCATCGATTGCAGAAGTACTGTCCGATTGGATACGGCCATCCGGGGTCTGCGACAGAGCACTCATCCCGTGCGAACACGCGTAAGCACGACTTGATTCGCGCAGCCTGCACGTGCTCGCACGCGGTGATCGCCATCGGCACAGACCCGCCCTTAGGCATTTCGAAGCTCTGCGATGACATAATGACACACTCAGAGATCTCGGAGTCGTTGTTGTACAACCCGGACTATTTCACCCCGTGGATAGCGGAAAGCCTCCGACAGAGATACCCTTGCGTAACCGAGAATCGACTGTGTCCTAGGGAGTTTCACTGCACCACCACTAGCGACCCCCGGTGCTCTAATTTCTCCACTCAGGACCACACCCACTACTTCACCCACCCCGGATTTGTCGTTATCTCCACCAGCTTCCCTCCCTTCCGTCTTCTTCTTCCGTATCACCAACTCAGCGTCGTCTCGTGGAAGGCCATAGCCCCATACTGGCCCAGCACACCCTGCGGAAATTGCCGACGACGCGGTGACCAGAGGACCCCGGAATTCCGGAGGCCTAACTCGAACGCGCGACGACCGGCGCCACGTGGCAACTTCCGATGGCCTGACTCATCGGAACCCCACCACCCCGGAGGGACCATCCCGCAAACTGTCGTCCTCGGAACCAATGGCTCGCCCGGCCTTGAATGACCCGCGCATGCCATCTGCCTTATGACCAGAGGCGGTCTCCGCCAAATTGCACTCGTGCCCTGGAAAAACTCTGCCACAGGAGATCTCAGTTCTGACCTGGGACTCCACCCCCACTTTCCCAAAAATCCTTGGCACACCCCTTTTCGCACTTCCAGGCCCACATCCTACTCCGATCAGGAAGTCGCGCTGGGCGTGAGGTTGGGCGTCACATTTGTTGTAGAGGGCAGATTTTCACCTACAGCGGGTACTGTCAGAGGAGCGCCGGTACCAGTAGGCTTCCCTAGGGACCGCCCCCTGGTGCTGTTCCGACCACGCTGGAACTGATGGCTACCAGGGGAGGTTGTGATATCCTGGTGACGGTACTTCATTACGCCTATCCCTAGTCTTGGCACCCTCCCACCCCATCCAAGACTTCAAGGCTCCCATCTGTTCACATTCCAGCCACGCCGGAAGCTTACCTCCCTGATTACGCCTATCCCTACTCTTGGCACCCTACTGCCCCATCCAAGACTACCCGTAAGCTTCCCAGGGGACCATCCCAGGTACTATTCCAACTCAATCAGCTAATGGGCACACTGGCGCGCACGGAGAATTGCCACCCTACCCATCCTCACATCAATTCTCATACTAGCGTAACCCCTACAACTACTATCCTACCTCAATGACCAGCATTCAGGACAATCACCCACATGATAATATTGACCGAATACGGCGAACAGTAATTACAGGCACCAGACTAGAGAGTAACCCCACCAGTCCCAGTGGAAGGGCAGTCGTGCAAGCCTTGTTACCTGAGGACTTCGGTCACCAGGCACAGTCAATATCTCTACCAGCAGCACTAACACTGGCGGGGATGTTTAAATAATAAATAAAAAAATAAAATAAAAAAACAATATCTCTACCAGTCCCACCGCCGAACCAGGTCCCAAGTAGGTGTTACATATGAGCTAGTGCGAACCCCCCATGGCCCGTAGGCGGTCTGCCGACCGATCGGGACACTCCCTTGTTGTTGTTGTTGTTGTTGTTGTTGTTGTTGTTGTTGTTCCTGACTATGTGCCTGTTCTGCGCTTGAGCAGGAGAGCCCATATCCGCAATAATTTTTTTGTTTTTTTGGGGAGGGGGTGTAGACCGTGTAGGGGTGTGGTGTGGGGGAGGTTCAGGGGGTGACTGGGCGGGGTTGTAGGGGTGTGGTGTGGGGGAGGTCCAGGGGGTGACTGGGCGGGGTTGTAGGGGTGTGGTGTGGGGGAGGTTCAGGGGGTGGCTGGGGGGTGTTCCTGGTTGGTCTGTGGGTGGTTCAGGTGTGGTGGTTGCCGGGTGTTTGTGTGTTCTTTGCGAGATATTCAGGGGCTGTTTCAGGGGGGGTTGTAGGGGTGTGGTGTGGGGGAGCTTCAGGGAGTGACTGGGGGGTGTTCGGGGGTGGTTTGTGGGTGGTTCAGGTGCGGTGGTTGGCGGGTGTTTGTGTTCTCTTTCTGGGTTATTCAGGGGATGTTTCAAGGAGGCTGTTGGGGTTTGATGTGGAGTGTTTGGAGCGTGATCGGGGGTGCTTGCGGGGTCCAGGCAAAAACAGAAGAAGAAGAAGAAGAAGAAGAAGAACAAGAGTTCAGAAGAATAACAAGAAATCTGCAATCTCCTCCAAGAACCACACATAGTAGGGGTTAGGTAGTGGAAGGGGTAACATTTGGATCTCTTTTTTTTTTTTTTGTGGGGCCTACTGCAGAAGGGTGAAGAGGGGACAATGGTGAGGGTTGCTGCTCAGCTGTCACTTTTGTAAAGCCTGGGACTGCTTCCTGGGGCCCGGCCTGCCGGAAATAAAGGTGGTTCTTTTGGCGGAGGGCGGTCCGCGGGCCCGGTAGGACCCCGGCTTCTATTTTCTGTCATCCTGCAGAGTGCCTACCGGGCCCCTAGCCGTCCGCGCCGACAGGGCGACCCGTCGGCAGGTCGGCAGCCAATGGTTTCAGGACCGCCAACGATCAGCCAGACTACCCTGAATTGTGCTATATGCTTTCATAAGGGACGCTGGGCCTGGTTCCCCCCACGTCCTGCTTCCCACGAATAGATTGGGAATCCGTTCCTCGAAAAAGGAAAGAAAAAAAATGACGACAAAATCCTTTCATCATAGGAGAGGCTGCACGCAGTGGAGAGAAGCTCAGAAAACACACTCTGAAAGCTTTCGGACTCGTTACCTGTGAAGATCCATTGCATGTATCCTTCTTTCTGACTCGGCTGATGACCGCTCGTCTTGAAGTTGAGACTTCATCAACTCGATTTCTTTGATTGCCTCGGCCAATTTCTGCCGTAATGAAAAATTCTGGTTGACCAACATAGGAAAAAAAAAAAAAAAAAAACCATCATCATGTTAAAAAAAAAAAAAAAAAAAAAAAAAAAAAAAAAAAAAAAAAAGGTCATTCGGGGACTAAAGAACCCTAAACCCTGAAACCCTAAACCCGAATGGTCTGGACTCCGAAGGAATTACAGTCTCAGATCAATACCATCTGTAGGCTAGCAGTCAATCCCCTCTCATTTTGGGTTGGCCAATCAATCCTCTCTCTCTCTCTCTCTCTCTCTCTCTCTCTCTCTCTCTCTCTCTCTCTCTCTCTCTCTCTCTCTCTCTCTCTC